GACACCTGTGATGACATCACCTGACTACCGCAAAAGCCAAAATTTATGTCACAGACAGAACCAAACCAGAAGCACGCATCTGGCAGACTTTGGAGAAATCATGAACAAATCTAAAATCATCCAACGGCAATACAAAAAAATTAAATAAAAATGTAATGTATAATAATGTATAATAATAATGTATAAAAATAATGTGTCAAGTATAAGTCACAGTGTTGATGGTAGCATATGAAATCTGAAGTTAATCTGAGGCAAAGACTGCCAAAGAAATAAATGCATAAGAATTCATGATTAATTACAGGAATGCATTGGTGAATCTGAAAGGGTTCTGCTCTGTTGTATCTTTCGATCAATACCTATTTGGCATTTAGTGTTTGTTGAACTGAAAAGAGTACATACACTGCCTGGCCAAAAAAAAGTTGCGCTAATCACACTAATATTTTGTTGGACCGCCTTTAGCTCTGATTACGGCACGCATTCACCGTGGCATTGTTTCAACAATCTTATGCAACGTCACAACATTTACTTCCAGAGCTGCATTAATTTTTTGCCAAGATCTTGTATTGACAACAGGACAGTTGAACCACTCCGTAAAGTCTTCTCCAGCACATCCCAAAGACCTTCAATGAGGTTAAGGTCAGGATTCTGGGGTGGCCAATTCATGTCTCCCTGAACCACTCTTTCACAATCTGAGCCCAAAGAATCTTGGCATTGTTGTCCTGGAATATGCCCATGCCATCAGGGAAGAAAAAATCCATTGATGGGATAACCTGGCCACTCAGTACATTCAGGTACTCAGCTGACTTCATTTTATTGCCACATAACGTTGCTGAGCCTAGACTTGACCAATTGAAGCAACCCCAGATCATTGGCTTATTTAAATCAAAACGGCAACTTTTTTGTGGCCAGGCAGTGTATTACCCTGATGCTAAAGCAGACACAGTGGGCCTCACTGATGTCATCTTGGCCAGATGGACTTTATCTTACAGCGTGGTAAATTTACTAGCGTGCTACGCTAATAAACAAATTGAAGTAGAAAATCATTAATTACACAGCTCCACTGTGAGGCCAGAGTGCAATATTAATCATGTATCGAATCATTTTCATGAGTCATGACTATCCATTTAAACATTATTTCTGATTTAAAGAGGTTGGTGTACTGTTGGCCAGATGGATGAAACTATTCAGTGTCACTGTAAGTATAACCAAGTATCTATCAGTCAGTTTATAATAAATGAATGTCAAAAATGTGATTTAAAAGCAAATTTGATACATATCTGTGACCAATATTACATTATTTAGTTCAATTAGAACATAATAAAATACCTAACACTGCTCACAATAGCACAGCTGTGTTTGTCTCCATCTGTTTTTTCATGAAGTTAAAAGAAAATGTATTTGTGTCTGGAAACTGTTAATATGGGTTCTCTAAACTGCGCAGGCAGGGTTATTTTGAAAAAAAAACATATTTGCAAGGCATTTGCAAGGTCATGTGATGCAGCCATAGATGTCCGGTTAGTCTCTCCTCTACACTATGAAGGAGGGGTCTGCTTAGTCACCCCCTTGCGCTAAGGAATTGTACTAATGAAATATTTTATAGCATGACATTCTAGACACACACAACATACGTAAATGTATGGTAGTGCGTGTACCAGGGCTCGTAACCAAAGGGTTTCTGGTTCAATTCCCCGCTGGGGCAAAGTTCTTAACCTGCAGTTGCCACGGTAAATATCCAGCTGCGAAAATTGTAACCTATGTAAGTCACTCTGCATAAGAGCGTCTGCTAAATGACAATAACGTAAATGTAAACAAACTTTTGGCGACTGACCAAGAGCGTGCAGTAGGAACTGGAGGCTAATGCAGTGGGACATTACATCACTGTGCTTTTCCACGGGCCCACATGGTGATACATGTCTGTGATTCTGGCACATCATTGGGTCCTGACAGATAGTTTACTGGATGTTCCCTTAGTTTCTAAGATGGTTCCTTTAGTTTCTAGGCTGTCTAGTCAGGTTGCACAAGTTAAGCTGTGGCAGTGTTTGAACAGTGTTATGCTCACGCTCACTTGTCTGTAGGTGTTGTTAGCCTGGTCTGACACTGTTGCTCATTCAAGTTGAATGGATACACTTCTGTTCTTTTGCACTGGAAGTCACTCTGGATAAGATTATCTGCTATATGAATGTAATGTAATGTAATGTAACATATATGACAATTTGCTGGGCTGGAGCAAAACTCCAGCATGCACCTGACCCTCCAGGAATCAAGTTTGAAACTGCTGGTCTGTAGTGAGGGGTTATGCAGAAAACTGAGGTAGCTTGAGAGATACTCTGTACATTCACACTTAAACTCCTCCTACAAATTTAAAACATACACGCCCATGTTTACAGTCCTCACACCCCGAGGCTGAATTAGGAACAGTGGCTTTATGGGTGTGAACCCAAAACATGATGGATGCCCTGACAACCAGGATCGTAACTGCCTGGTCAAGTCCTCTTGGAGACGGATAAGATTCTTTTAACATGTGCTTCAAGGTGCCTTTCACAAAGTGTAACCAAACACAGCTGAAAGATGATTACCTCGTGAAGTTAATGTAACAGGAATAAATGTCTACACTCCCTGTGCATAAGCGCAGTGACACTATTTTTACTACATTTGCACATAACATAACATAAGATCTATACGCCACTGCATCTCCAAAAAATGTGCCAAAGAATTTTTTTCTTGAGTATTGGACACAAATATAATCTTGTTATATTTCTATTAGGTATTAGGTACAAAAAAAGGAAATATGAATATGTCAATTACGTAAGTGACTAAGGAAGTAAGCGTTTGTCGAAAAAGCCAGCACACACACACATACACCCCTCCAGAAACGGAGCACGACATGGCTGGAGTACAGGAAGTGGTTTTTAAACTCTGCTCAGAAGCGCTGTGCTCAGAAGCGGCTAGGATCTTCCTGCACTCCTCCGCTGCTCTGTGCCATTTGCTGGTGCTGCGCCCTAGTGGCCATTCGGGGGAAGCGCAGACAGACCTGCATCCTGAAGGCTGCCGCTTGCTCCGGGAATCCCGCCTCCGTGAAGTAGCTCGCCACATCAGCCACGCTCCACTCCACTGGGTTCTGACTGCTCCTCTCGGCCTTCACAAAACTGCAGGGGGAGGGGCACAAGGAGAGCGACACGGAGTGAGATGGAGACTGAGTGAGAGAGAGAGAGAAAGAGAAAGAGATAGAGAAAGAGAAAGGAAGGGCAGAGAGGGAGGGAGGAAGAAGGAAAGAGGAACATAATGGTACAGAGTCAAGGGATCCAGAACATAAAGATACCATGGAGGGGGAGCAGACTGAAGGGTTAGATGTAGCAGAGCATGTGACTGCCACAGCAGTCCGAATGGAAAGGAAAGAATCTGGTCATGCAGTGTACGTGATGTCCCGCATCCAAAGGAGACCCTCTGAGCGGGGTCATACTTACACTCCTCCGTTCATCGCTCGCTCCTCCACTGGACCCAAGTCCCGCGGAGAGGCCGTGGGGGTAAGCAGGCAGGATGCCTCACCCACCTCCATCTTACAGCCCGAACCTGAGAGAGAGAGAGAGAGAGGGGGCAGAAAGAGGGGGGCAGAGAGAGAGAGGGGTCTGAACTGGACTGTGGAGGGAAAATACACAGTCACATAAAAACATGCAACGATGTGTTTAAACTTACATACATATAAGAAACATAAGCTTACATTCCATGAAAAAGAGACACACACACACACACACACACAGTTACTGCACTTAAGAACATAAGCTTACATTACATGAAGACACACGCAGAATTGTGTGTACAGTAACAGAGCAGTTACTGATGCAGCTGAAAATGGCGCAGAAGTTGAACTTACAGCTTTCCGCAGGAACAGAAGAGGTGAGGTTCCCGCCCTCTGTCACCGCCATAACCTGATCCTGAAACAGACCAATAGGGAGAGGGAGATGAGGAAAGGGGGTGGAGACATGGAGGAGAGATAATGGGCATATTGGGTTGGGGGAGGGGGTGCAGGAGAATGTGCAGTAAGTTCAGCTGACTGGGGACCAGCAGGACAGGGTGACCCTCTGATGACGGGCACTGGTAAGCTGTGGGGGGTTCCCTTACCGGCGACTCGGAGACCAGCTGGTCGGGGGTCACAGCGCTCTCCTCCACCCTCACCTCCTCCGCCCCCTTCCCCGTCTCCCTTTGGGCGGAGGGGCAGACGGCCCTCGGCTGCACCCTCACTTCCGGGCCACCTTAAAAAAAGGAAAAAACAGCTTTCCACCCTCTGACCTCAAACCAGCCACTGCGGTCCCCACGCTAACCCTGTGTGTGACCAGACTCGTCCCTTTTCCAGTCCATGTACACTGAATTTACAGCACGAGGCATCGCTATGAAAGAGAGAATGACATGAAACACACACACACACAAAACAGGGCTTCAATCATGATTTGTCAATTTTCAAGTCAATCTGTTGATGGTTTTGTCCATGGGCGCAAGTTCGCTCAATCAACCTATATTCCTTAGAGTGGATGAAACAACAGGATGCATTATCAGTGCACTGCAGTTAGCCGCTGATGGCACCGCAAGATACACAAAACACTGTAACTACAGCAGTTAGCCAGCGTCGTTCAGTGGCATCCTGATAACCTGCTCTACTGCTGCTCCTCATTCCAGTTAAATACCATCAGCTGTAATTTTCATGTCTGATTGAGTCAGACATTTCATACATTTCACATAGGTGCACTGAGTTATAAAAGGATGGGATGGTTTGATGGCATCTGCAGAGGACCCATAGACTCAAGGGTCCTTCAAGATCAAACTGAACACAGAAGTGGATTCCCTCTGGATTAAAGTCAATCAATGGGCTGACTGGCCTCTTAAAGCCATTATACTGTCTTATGCGTTCTTAAGTGGCTGTTTTCTCTGTATACTTGACGTCTTTAGCTAACGACTGAAGCTGTATTTTGTGCAGATGTGCACATTTCTTTTAAAGCCATACATGGGCAGCAGTGCAGCATAGTGGTAAGGAGCAGGGCTTTTAACTGAAAGGTTGTCGGTTCGATTCCCTCCTGGGGCACTGCTGTTGTACCCTTGGGCATGGTACTTAACCCAGAATTGCCTCAGTAAATATCCAGCTGTATAAATGGGTAACATGTAAAAAAAAATGTAACGCTCTGGATAAGAATGTCAGCTAAATGCCAATAATGTAATGCAATAATGTAGCCCAGCAACAAGTGACTGTGAAGGGAAAGAAGCTCAGGCCCACTACAGTTAATGACATGCCACCAGAGGAGTGACACCAGCTGCAATTGTGTCAGAGCGATTAGGGGAGGCGATTAACACCACTGTCTCTGGAGAGGTGGTTCATGCGCACGGTCACTGAACCTGTGGCAAGATTAAAGCACCACAAAAAAAAAGAAATGACTGCTTAATTCTGGTATTCAACATTGAGGGCCAAGTGCCATACTGGGTAGACTGGACACCTGCCACCCCCACCCCCACCCGAAATACTTTCTTTACTGCTGCGAGGGGTGTCTCCAAAAGGTAAGATGTTATTCAAATATATGATGTAGAAGTCAGGCTCATAAGCCAAAGGTTGCCAGCTCGATTCCCAGATGAGGCATTGCTGTTGTACCTTTGAGCAAGGTACTTAACTGGAACTGCTCCAGTTCAGTAGATATGAATTTTTAATACAATAAGAAGTATTGCTGTTGATGAGGGAACAGGGGTACTGGTCTTTGGCTTGGAGTCTGAGGAAGGGGGTCGCACCTTGCTGTGGTTGTTCAATCCACCGTTTGGACATATATACACAGGAATGGTAAAAAGGAGGAGAGTGAGTGGGTTTTTTTATACTTAAGGATGGAATGGGTTTGTTAATTGCATAGGGATTTAAGACCAGCAGTGTAGCATAGTGGTAAGGAGCAGAGCTCCTAACCAAAAGGTTGCTGGTTCGATGCCCCACTGGGGCACTGCTTCTGTACGCTTGGGCAAGATACTTAACCCAGCATTGCCTCAGTAAATATCCAGCCATGCAAATGGATAACATGTAAAAACTGTAACCTATGCAAGTCACTCTGGATAAGAGTATCTGCTAAATGTCAATAATGTAATGTAATATAACGTAACGGATTGTTTAGAAATTCTCCCCCAAATCTTCCTTTGTAACTTCAGTAAACACCCAGCTGTATGAATGGATAATCTAGCAAATTGCCCTGGATAAGGCTGTCTGCTAAGCTAATAATGTCATGATGTAAAACGCAACAATGATGCAAGATCCTGTGCTATTTTATGCGGCTCCTGTGTCCTCAAGGCCTGAGCACGGGGAGACTCTGGCAAAATGGTGGGTTAATAAGATATAAACCCCATTTCTGTTAAAACTCAGAAAGCTGCTAGTGACACAGCACTCACACTTTCTCACATATTGTCACCTCACCCCCCTCCAGGACAACCCCCCACCCCTCCTCCCCAAAAACCCAGACTGTTCCACAACTTCCCATAAACAGCCACCCCCTTCACCCCCATCATCGACCCCCTGCTGGTCCAGACTGGTCTATCTATGACTGGGCTACACCCTCAGGAACAGAGGCCAGGTTGACTGCTTCGATCTACATGGCCTTCTGAGATTTGGAAGGGGGAGGGCAGAGGGGGGCCTTCGACACACCTTTCCAAGGGACTACAACTCTCTCCATCACTCAGCGATCTCAGGCCGAGACCACCAATCAACCTGCTTGTGCCTGAAGCTTGCAGCTCCACAGGCTCCAAAGCCTTCTGGAATGCTGCTGCTTCTAACAGCTACGACCCTTTGCTGAAGCATCTCTGCATCTCCACTGAAGCATGCTTCTGTTGCCGCCTGCTTATACTTTCAACGCCACAGCCACTGCAGATGATGTGTGTAACTGCGACTACTGACTTTTCCTCTCTGTGATAATGAACTACCACCCTGTCTAATTGGTTTTTTTTTTTTTTTTTTTACTCTTTCTTTGCCGTGCTTGTTTCCTGTGTAGATCCTTGGCCTGGTTGTTCCAGTAAAATAAGGCATTCTCAATGACCTTAGATGGATAAATAACAGGTAAATAGACTTCAGTTTGCTATCTACTGCCCTGGTCTAATACCCCCTCGTTGCACCGTCTCTCCCCACAAACCCTTTAGAAGGTGTTAACTTAGCTCATGCCATTATTCAGGCTGACCTATGCGCTCTATACATTTTGCATCATTCCATATGCAACCTAGATTTACACAGGTTGATGTTTTAAGGCTGAGATTCTGGCTAACTGCCTTGCTCAGGAGGGTAGAGCAGTGCTCCATCTGGGATTTGAACCCGTGACCCCCCCCCCTTTCCCCTGCTGCCCTAATAACGCAAGACAAAAGAGGACAACACGTCACATCCGCCCCGCTCACAGGGTAGTCCGGAGGGCACACAGCATTCTGCAGTAATGCACTCTAACGCACGAGGCATGACATACCACACTGTGCATCAAACGCTGCAGTGACAGAGACAGGCCTGCTGCCTGCAGCATTTAGCTGAGAGACAAAGTCACACATACACACACACACACACACACGATGTGTTACACATGTAATCATATACACAGACTTTATCTTAATGAGACAGAAACACACACACACATGACGTGTTACAACTGTAATCATACACACACTTTATTTTAATGAGAGAGACAGACAGACAGACAGACACACACACACACAGGTCTGCAGCTGACATACCTGCGTCCACCTGGAGCTCTCCGTGCATGTTCTCACTGCAGCAGGAGGTGCTGGGACACACAGGACCGGAGGAGCTGGAGGGCTGGAGCTTCCCTTTGGGGCCGCTGAGGTCTGTGACATCAGGGCCAACGCCACACCCCGCGAGGGCCTCGGCCTTCACTTGCGGCGTCTCCGACTGCTCCATGGGGACAGGGTCGGGGCACTGGGGGCGGTGGTGGGGAGCCCCCTCAGGCGCGCCCTGCGCCCCCGCCTCCTTCTTTGCGACGGCGCGCCCGGATGCCCCCTTTCCTGGCCCCCAGGAGAACCGGGAGCCCCGTCGCCCCCGTCCTGAGTCTTCCCCGCCCCCTCCTCCTCACCCCGTTCTGTCTCCATGGCTTCCACCTTTTTAACCTCCACCTGACAGAAGTAAAAGAGCAAGGAGACAGTCCCTAAACAACAGCGTTGTCCACAAGAGCTCATCAAAATCCTGGTTTTAAACGACCAGGCAGTTAAAATCCTGGGTTTCCTTATTCTAATAAAGGTTTTTTTTACCTCTCTGCCCTTGCGCGTTTGTCCCAAAGGACTGGTCTCAGGCAATATAAACCAGCTTCTAATATTCAACGGAAGATGCGGTGCGCTTTAAACTTGAAAAAAAAGACCCAACGGTTCGTCAAATTGCAACACGAAGGGAGTTTTCCTCCGCTGTAACACGATATTCAACTGTGTAACAGGCGTCTGCTTTTGGCACTGTATTAATTCCGACCTCATTGATCAATAGGATTCATGTCTAATTAGTTAGCAAGGTTTCGTAACAGTGTGAACCAACATTTTTTGTCGACGTCTCACGACAGCTCAAAAAAATGCATTTCTCTCATCAAAACCAATTAAATACGTAGCGAGAGATAAAGATTGGAGATTGACTCGCGCAGAATTTAAGAAGCTTAGCGAAAAGCTGGAGCTCGGTTTGCTTCAGCACAGCCCGAATTTCCGCCATCGCTCTGCTTTTACCTCGCGTGACCGAAGTGCCGCACAGAAGCGTCAGCTCGACAAGGCAACTGCGCCGTTCGTGCCCGACAGAAACGCACTTCATTTCCCCACTTTGAGCGCGTCTGCCTCCCAGACACTGCGCGCGTGTGTGTGTGCACATTCCGCAGAACTTTCACTAAATCAACACTGTCTCGACGATCGTAAAAAAAAAAAAATACTGTTGATTCCGAGCTGAGCGAGCGAGCGCTGCTCTCGGCGAGTCCGTGTGCGCGTGTAAAACAAGCAGCGGCGGACGGAAAAAAGCAGGCGCTGCTGAGCGAGTAAGCTGAAGCCCGCACCTTTGTACTCCGACGCTGTACTGTCGCGCTTGGGGGAGACAGAAGGCAGACATTTGCATATCTAAATGGAAGACAATGACAAAAAACGTGTAAATTGCCCTGCGCTCTCTAAATAAATGTGCCGAAAATACAAAGAGGAGCGCAGTCAGACGACGCAAGTATTCGTTTAAATCATGGGAAATGTGGGTCAGGCAGAAATACGCTCTCGAAATAGTTTACATGTGATTTCGTTTCGTTTGAAAACTACTTCCAACTGTACTGAGCGGCTCTGGTATTTTGTTTAAAAAAGCATTTCACAACTAGACAGAATGTAACGCCATGCGGTGTGCAGGACGTGTTGTAAATACTAAGTAAGCAGAAGACTACCTTTTTCGCCATATGTCTATCCTGCAGTGCGCTCTTTAGGAGACGCGCGGACGGCTTCGCCGCTCCCACTCCCCGCACCGGGAGGGTGATGTTCCCAAACCTGGTCCTCCGTAGTCGACCTCTTGCCACCTCTCTTTCCAGCACCACTTTGACTTTGCTGCGGGTCAGCTTTTCCTGCGATAGGCGCTCTTGAGAGCTCAGGAAACCCAGTATCTCCTTCAAGCCCAATGGCGTGTGCCCCCGGGCTGCGGCGGTTCCTCGACTCCTCTCGGCCAGGCTTCGCACAGAGGCCACCAGGCGGTCGCCCAGATCTGGGTTTGTCGGGTCAGCCCCGCCGCGACTCCCTGCCTTCGCTCCGACACGGAGTTTGGGCTTGTGCGACGCTTGCTGCTTGTGCCCCGGGGGGTGGCTGTTGCTGGCACTAGCGCTCGTGCAAGTTTTCTTTTCCTTGTCATTACTACCCTCGTGCCCGGACAAGCCCGCTTCCACTCCTCGAGCCCCCCTGGTCCTGCTGGACGCCCCGCTTCCATTATCGTCGCTGGCGCTCGCATCCCGAGCGGGCGAAGCGCTCCTGCCCTCCGTCTGCGGCAGTTTCTTGTCTTTCGGTGCACTTGCTTTCACGCCGCCGCTCCCGGCTGCACAGCGAGCTTGACTCTTGCAAACCGCTGCGCCACAGCTAAGA